ACCTTTCCTTTCTTTACAATAAGTGTGCCACAATTTTTTTGGTTTTGCTTTTACTTGAAGAAAACGTAAAATGAAGCAGAGAAAGGAAAGAGAAGGGAGCCAGGAGGGCAGACTGAGAATGAGCAACAGGGTAGGATTTAGGTTACAGAGTGAGAGTTAGAGGGGTCTTTGGACATAAAAGATGTTTGAGATACAATGAATAGAATTTGGAGCAGTGAACTTTAGAATAACAGAGACTGTAGTATTTGGGTCATATGGGAATAAGATTCATTTATCCTACCTCATTTGATTGATGGGGAAACAAATGTTTAGCAAGTGTAAGGTCTTGTTTAGGGCAAAGACAGAATTTGAGGCAATGCTGGGAAGGAAACCTACATCCGATGATTCCCAATCCTAATTTGCTTCCTTGAATCTTGGAGGTATAGAAAAACTGAAGAGCAAGAGGTATGCACTGTTTCCTTGAGGACTAAAAAAGGAAATGGTGGAAATCAGATGGTGGCTCAAAGAATATCCTGATATAAGGCTCAGTCAGAGATGGCTGGAACTCAGAAAAGTTGTGGAAAGAGAAAAGCAGAGCAGAGTACCCCTTACTGGCTGCAAAGTGTTGAAGACTATGTGCAAACCATCACCCTTAAATGGGATTTTCTAGCTCAAGAACTACTGGTTCCAGAATTGTCAAAATTCTAGAACGAATGCTACAATATATTGTTAACCTATTCATATATATTAGTAAGTGAAAACACTGTGGAGTTAAGCATTTGCCCATTTGATGGAAGGAGAACCAATGCTTGTCACAGCCAGTTAAGCTTATCACATCATTTATTGTCCTTGAAGCAAAGTCCATTTATCCAAAGTATAACTCTAAAACACTATAAACCCTATATCTTTTGGACATCAATGTGGTAAGAGCCTATTGTTCTTGTTACACCATTTCTCAGTGATCTTATTTAATCTAGCATGAACTTGAGACCAGCACCATTGGTGGGGGTGGAGTCAGAAGCTGGAAGATGGAAAATAGAGAGTAAGGGGTTGTGGTGAAATACTATAATATTTTTAAAATTTACCAAGGATTATTCTTCATTTGAAAAACAAAAAGCACTGCCCTGAGCTTAGATTTCATTATTTGTATCAATGTCACCTCGCTTAATGCCAAATGCATTATTGTCTCTCAAGAATTAGACCTCCCAGATTTAAAACTGGTTTTTAAATTTTTATTTCTTTGCTAAGGCTCACCTTGACCTTATCCTGCCCCATGGACTTGAAGAACTTTCCAATGGATGTCCAGACCTGTACAATGCAGCTGGAGAGTTGTAAGTCACCATTATTGAAATGACTGCCTGCTCGTTTTAACCAATGACATGATTCTTTTAGTATTTCATTAAGGAGAAAAGATCCTTAAGACTTATTCTCTAACTACTTACTAATCCTCAATGTCTGAACGTAAGGACAAACAAAAGTGTGTGTGTGTGTGTGTGTGTGTGTATGTGTGTGTGTGCGCGCATGCGCGCGCACACCATATAAAAAGCTCATTATCAGTATAGCATAGACAATCTTTCAAAGTAAAATGCCAGATAACTTGCTCTTCTTAAAAAAAAAACAAGCCCAATTTAGTAAGCTTTTCTTTGAAATGAAAATCTTTCCTGGGAAAACTAAGATTATTAGTCATTAAACCTTTATAATGAATCACTCTCTAAATAGAAAATTGTATTTCTTTCCATCTTATGCCCATGTAGACCATCACCTCAAAGAAATTGTGGCAGGGAAGGATAATTGCTTTGAGAGCAAGACTCAGGGCCCTTAACCATAGGAAGATGCAAGAACAAGGGGCAGGAGATTGAGATGGAATGAGATAGAATAAGAGGCATCTCTCTTAAATAAACAGTGGATACACAAAGGCATGGTGAAGCAAGTAGAAAAATGCCATTGTCTTTGTCCCCTTTATGCCCTAGCCCTTATACCACTGAAATCTTTGACATGTGCCATAAGTCGCTGATGCCTCCAAGGTATCGGGATTTGCAGTTAAGAGACATGAAATTTTTTCTGGCTTGCTCTGTCAGTTCCTTTGTTTGTAAAATGCAGAGAATAAGTGCTACTGACCTACAGGAATGTTAGGAGATTTAATGAGGTAGGGGCAAGGAATACTTTTAACTTCTTGGTTTAGAAAAATAATATGTGTAAAAAGACACATCAACTATTATTTAAAAACAGGCAGTGACAAGGTTTCCTTCTGATCATTTAAAACCACTGCAGATTTTCCTTGAAACTTCCTATGGAAATAAACAAAATAATGAAACATCTTTGTTTTAAGAAGTTGTCAGAGATAAAATGAGAATTTCTGATTTACAATAGGCTTTATGTATTCATTTTCCCCCTATCACCCCTTTTCTTGAGAAGAAAGTTGAAAAAAACATTTTCTTACATAATGATTTCTTCTTTGTGTTTTCTCTACTGCTTGAAACTCTCACCTGTCTCAACCCAACACTTTCATTTTCTCTGTGAAACATCAGCCACAGCTGTCAACTGAGGCTCATCCAAGGCTTACAAAACTTGAATTAGCAAATATGCTTAGTCCTTGCAAGACCCAGAAATAATGAAATCAAAGAAGTTAGTGCTTACCACTAACTTTGGATGTGAGGGGTGGGAATTACTTTCTACTTTTCTACCTCAATATTACCTTCTTCTTTTCCATCTCCTTGCCTCTACTGTCTGCCCCATGCTGGGGCTTCAGGGTGGTTGACAAGGATTATTATTGTGGTGGCCATCGAGAAGCTCACCAGATAAGGACATAGGGTATTTGGTGAAACTTTGAGGAATTTGCTGGAGGTACCCAGGATGTGCTCATACAGAGTTACAGTGGAAGAGATAGAGTTTGCCATTTTCTTTCTGGACCATCAATGCTTGTTACAGGACCTTGTCTGTAACTCCTTGCTTTCCATGTTTTTATGTTTTGGGTTGTGAATTAAAAAGCTGGTCCAAAAAAAGAGGAAATTAGATTCTAATTAAATTTGCCATTGATTTCTGGGTAGCTTTGGTTAGTCACTATCTTGCAGTAAGTAAGAATAAGATTCTATATACTTAATAAACATGCTGAGGTTATTGGCCAGCCAAGACCTCACATAATATCTTTTGTCCTTATCACTCTCCTTTTAAAAGTTCAAATATCACAAATGAAGGGGGAACGTAGAGAAATGATGTGTGAAAGAAGAGTAGCCTTCATTTCTGGGGTGAAGAAGGATGCGGAAGCTATTGACAGATAGTGACCTAGTCAGCAGGAGCTTGGAGATTAAGAGCTAACTTTGGTTTACTAAACTTATAACAACCTTACTTTGGACAGTTCAAGTCATATAGCAATATAATCTTCCATAATAGGGAATCCATTTTACTTCATATTAATAATTGTGATGAGTGGGCCCATTTAGCAATGCACTAGCACAAATGAATATTCTTAATTTGCATATTCCACAATTTCCTCTTAGGTTACCTGCATATAGCCTTCCTCACTTGCTAAAGTAGGACTTTCACATAAGCCTTCTGAGAGTAAAGCTAATAGACCCTAGGAGGGAGAAGGGCCAAATCTGCAATGGAAATATTTTAGGCAGTCCCATGATGAATTCATTATCATTAAAGAAAAGAATGGCTTTCATTTGAAGTACTAAGGCTGGCACTGGGAATTGTATTGGTTTATTGGATTGCCAAAGACACAGCTCTTGCAAGTAAAGACAATCTTCAAAGGATTTTTATGTTTGTTTACTTGTTTGTTCTTCAGAAAGAGTTAGTGAATAAAGAGGCAGAAAAAAATAGACTTTAAAGATTCCATTTTCTCATTACACATAAACGCATGAGCGCGCGCAAACACACACACTCTCTCTCCCCCATCCAGAAGTAGCTTTCTGTCTTCAATTTCTTTGGCTCCAATGACATGTAGCTGTCATGATGATTGCAGCTCTTTTATTTAGAATACTCTTGAATTGATTGAGCATGGGTCTGCTTTAGACCGTTTCCTTGTTTATTTCTTTATATGGCTAGACTTTCAAGCTTTCTGGAAAAGACATACACAGTTTTTCACTATGATTTCTTTACTCCAGTTGGGTACACGATGAATGACCTGATATTTGAGTGGTTAAGTGATGGCCCGGTGCAAGTTGCTGAAGGATTGACCCTGCCTCAGTTTATTTTAAAAGAAGAGAAGGAACTTGGCTACTGTACAAAGCACTACAACACT